GTAATTTACAATTTTTCTTTTTCAAAGATTTTCTTTGCTCCCTGTTAAGGTTCCCTATGACAGTAACTTAAAATATACAGAATTAAATGTTAGAAATGATGTTTCTATCCATTAGGGAAGATCTTTAACTCAAATTGTCTCCCATAGAGACTACCCTTTCAGACTCTGTCCCCTCTTTCCGATGGAAAGCTCCCAGCTGTGTAACTACCCTTGCTCCAGATCCACAGGATCTGCTGCTCCCTCCCTCTCAGGAGCACTTCTCCTGTGCCTGACCAGAGAGGCAATCACAGCAAGGTTCTTCTCAGCCCACTGGTCAGGAGCACTGCTCTTTTAAAGGACAGGCACAATATTTGACTTCCTGGGCAATGTCCAGGGCAGTAATTGGAAGTAAATAAAATGGCAAGTTACCAGCTAAAGAAACCTGTATTTTTCCTTGTTGTGGCAATTTCTGAATGAAGACCTAGAACAAGAGCTCTTTCTCACAGCTCCTGGGTCCTCAGCTAAGACCTTATTAGGGTTATTTCCTGATGATTCCTTAGACGTCGTCACTTCCTGGCTCCTGTGTCCCTTTATTTTAATTCTCTGGCTGTCCTATAGAAGCCTCTCAGGTAGTTTAAACTCTGCTCTTGGTAGCACTACTGGCACATAGTGAACCAGCACTCATGCAAAGTCCTGGACAGACTTGTACAGCCTTCCCTTAAGCCTGCTTTTACCTCCAGGGCTTCACTCACGTATCAGTGAAAAGTAGCACATGATGTAAGTATGAAGAATTGGATTTCTTAAAAGCATTAGAAAGCATGGGCTTTCAATGAAAAATAAGGGGTAAAAGTAGAACTAGTTGCTGCCTCTTGCTTGAGCCATGTCTGTAAAACACCATTAAAGAAAAAGAGAGTCTGAGCTCCAAGAGCAGAGCCGGCTCAAGCCTTTGCACTAGGGAAGGCCAAGTGGTTTGGTTTCTATTTTTAACACTTTGTTTATAGTGAAAAGCAAGTGAGTTGGGTCTAGCTGTATTTTATAAAAAAGTGCATCTTTAAGTGGGAACTATACAAAACATACTAGTACTCAAAACTCCCAAATTTAAGAGAGCTATAATTAACATTGAATAGAAATGCTTATGATGCAGGTTGAAGGTACCATACTCACTTTTCTTCATCTAGAGAATACCAAGTTACTTCACAATGAATTATTGTAGGAAGATTTTGGTGGTCATTTTTTGCTCACCAGTGTTTATGCCCATTCTGCATTTAGTGAAGTGGGGCATCCACATGATTGTGTGTGCTTTGGAGACAACAACTGAAACCACCAGCCGAGCGAGTCTGTGGGTATGACCTTTAGCAATATGTTAACAGACCCACTTGCAGGCTATTTGCAGGAATCAGTTTTCCTTTCCTTCACTTCAAAGTTGGATGCTGAATTATTTGACTCTCCAGTTCCTTTGACTGGTCTTTCTGTTCTCTGAAGATTGACTCATTTCCTGTATTTGAATAAGATAGTAAAAGTGGATATAAAATATTATTTTGCAATTGTAATCAGAATAGCTCTCAGTGTAGATATTAATAGTGAATTCTAAGACTGTGCCTGATAACAGCTGAATTTATGCTTTCATGGGCTAGATTCTGCTCTCATTTATTTCACTGTAAACCCAGAGTAACTCCCAGAAGTCAACAGACTTGCTCTGGATTTCTGCAAAGATAGCAGAGGTCTGCCTCTTGCTCTGTGTTTCTTCTGCACTGATGGGGGTGACATCATCAATCTGGATATATGAATCAGGACGTAGATGAATCAGGCAAAATTAAAAGCAGCTCATTCTTTAAACAGAAACCTCTGCTTTTTGGATGCATTTGTATAAAGAGACCCATTACCTCCCTGCCTCTCTGACCCTGGTAGATCCTATTAACACCTCTATCAGCTTTTACCTGTCATTTTTCACTGCAGTTCATACAGTGCTCTCCAAAACACTGAAGCGTGAAAACTTGCAGAGTTCAAAACAGAGATACAGAAACAACAGACAGAAATGAGGTATCTTTTATCAGGGAGGCATGTGGCTCTTAGACTTTTAAGGAGAGGCTGTTGAGCAAGAGCTCTTTTGGAATGCAGTTTGGCTGTTAATTTCTGATTTTGCCAGCTGCTCTGTTGCCTCAGACTTTGCAAGTGTGTGCATACCCATGTGTGCATATTTGAAGCAGTGTGGGAGGATCTTGTGCTGAATCTTGTTTTGCTAGTTAGAGTTCAGAGGCTGAACTGCAGAGTTTAGTTCTGAAATTTACCTCTCTCATTAATTCAGATCAGAAGTGTTCCTTTGGCACACTTTCCCTAAGAATACAGAGCTAAAACATCAAAACCAGTAACACATTGGAATTTCATCCGACCATCCAATGCCAGTTGTTTCCTCTTTTGATGCAAACATCTATCATGGCTTCTTTATTCAGTCTAAAGAAGGAAGAGAAAACACAAACCTCTCTTTTCTCAGACCAAGGCAAGTAGCAGAGTATGCTCTGCCTGCAGGCTGGGGCAACTACTGCAATGCACATTTTGAGTTACTCTTCTGTCTCAGAGAAGTTAGATGCTCTGTGGTGACTTAAAGATACATTTGGCATCTCTTTTGTGGGCTACAGTGTGTGAAGTGCATTTGTGGTCTGCTTGTTTCCTAGTGTGTATGTTCTTAGGGAAAGGAGACGAAAGGCAGCCTGATGTTGAGGTGCTGCTAGAGACTTCGCAAAGGTCAGGGAAGTTCAAGGTTATCTCTTGATGTTCATTAGTATATGTGGATGACATAAAATCTTCATGCCATCCCAGGTGTCTGGCTCCTGGGCCTCTTAGATGATTCAGAGAGCATTATTGTCATGACCAATGCCAATGTGACTGCCTCAAACCCTTAGTCCAGTGCTAACTCCATTGCCTGCTCTCGCAGCCTTTATAGCCATCATTCATCTGGATGAAGGGCCTGGTCCTCTCTTTGAGGAATTCTCCCTAGAAGAATGAGTATGCATGACACATGCCAAATAATAATGACCTACTCAATGACCTAAATGGAACTGTGGGAGGTAGGGCTGATGGACCTAGCTGGATGCCAGTTCATTATTAAGGCTGGGTTTAAAAATTACACCATTTTTAGTGTGTCATAGCTTGGCAGACTCTGCCTGTTCAGAGGACCCTTGCAAGGGATCTCACTGGGGGGTACTGTAGAGTGAAGAGCTGTCAATTCATGTGAGGAGGTCTGCAGGCAGAAATATTTTATTAGTGAAGTGTTTGGCTCTGCTGGATGCTGTGGGAGAACAAGGAGGATTCACCAGTGCTCTTCTCACCTTGAGTAAGACAGAGTAACTGGAAATGATCCAGTGCCTGCAGGAGCTTGCAATCATGGCAGAGAACAGTTAACACTGAAGGGCTGCAACACAGCTCTGAGGGATGGGGAACCTTTCTTGTCAAAAAAAAAAAAAAAAAGTGAATGTGTGTTTCTTGGATATTATGTATGAATATCAGATAAAACTTAATTTGGAAAAAAAAATGCATACTACAAAAGGCACCGATGGAGACAGTCTGACATGGACTAAGTCAGGTGCTATTTCTTAAAGGTATCTGTCTCCTTTGGGTTTGACTGTGATCACGGTTATATTTCCAAATATGTACTTGCTGATGTTTTCGTTTCTTCAATGCTGATGACATAAAAGATCTTTGCACTGGGTATGTTGTTTGCTGAGGAAAATTCCACTTGAACTCCAAAGGAATCTGAAGAATTCTGACAGAAAGTTTGAGGGGGCAGGAGTTTACTTTGCACTTTCTCTTGACTTAGGTCTGCTCCCTTTGAAAACAGACATAAAGCTAACATTGATTTAAATGGAAGTGTAAGTAAATCAACCCCAATTGCTTTTGGAAGCCCTGCCCTGAAAATTCTGAGTTCGAGAAACAACTGATTTTATTTCTGCTGCTATTTTGTGCCTTACAGCTTAAAAAGAAAGAGCTGCCTACTTACATGTCCGTTAGTGTGAGTTAAATTGGTTTTTATAATCTTTTTTTTTTGTTTACGTTTGATTTGTAAAGTCTGGAAAAAGTAATGCTTTCAAGAGATTGCACCCAGGAAAAAAGAAAGGAAACACTGTGCTAGTGTTGGAAAATCTTATTTTAACGTTTTGGAACAGGTTTTGATAATTAATTTTTGTGTGTGTTTTAAGAAGCAATATGTAAACAGAAGCAATATTAATTTTAAAATAACAAATTGAATTAAATGTTCAAATTATTTAAATAAATAATTGATTACCCAGAAAAAACTTTCTACCTGAAACTTAATTTTCTGACTAACTTAAAAAATGTTTGCCATCTGTTTGAATTCCTTTTTAGAATTTCCTGGAAAATAGAAAGTGTTAGGTCCTGACAGTTGTAATATGTGGGAGATGTTTCTCTTAGCATTGCAGAATGAAAGGATTGTTGTACTTGCAGAGCTGTTCTTTTGCTAACAAGATTTGTTATAACATGGTTGAATACCAGGTATTTTCATTTTCTGGAATAAAGAATGTTGCTCTTTTTTTTAAGGCAGAGACATGCATTTTGGAGAAAAGGGTTGAAATAATTTGGGCTAAAAATAATAGAGCTGCTAGTGTGGTAGTTCACAGCTGAGAAGTTTTTGGATGGATCAATAGGGGAAAACTAAGTAGATGCCAGAGGTCTGATATTAAGCACTACTGGGATTGCTACTGGAAGAAGAGCTTGTGTTTGTCTACCTGCTCTTGAAAAGCACACTGACATAGAAAAGTTACAAGAAAAAAATCTGAGAAATCTGTCTACAGTAAGAAAGTCTGTCCACAGTAAGAAGGTAAAGGGGTGCCATCTTTTTCAGTTTATCCAGAAGAAGATGAAGAGCAGGCTTGACCATGGTCTGTAATTTCTACAGAGAAATGATTTCTGATAGCCCAGGGCTCTTGAACTTTGCAGACCAAGACACAAGTAGGTAGAAAAAAAATCAAACTAAAAATAAGGCAGTTTTATGGTGATGCTAATTAACTTTCAGAACAACTTGCCAAGAGATGGAGTGGATTTTCTGTCATTTGAAATCTCTAAATCAGGATTTTATTTTAATTATTTTTTTTTTTAACTATGTATCTTTCTGCTCATCCTTAGAATATAGACAATGCACAGGAATTACCAGCTGGAAACCTCTGTCTCGTGTTATGCAAGGTATCAAGATAGTCCCTTCTGGCTGTAAATCTGTGCATATATATTTTAGATAGAGGTGACGAAAGAATAGAAAGAACCAGATAAAAAGGTGCAGAGGCTGATGGTAGAATTGTCTGGTTACTGGAGATATTATTATTCTTTAACATTCAATTTTTGATTAATTTCTTTCAGGCTCAGTCTTGAAAGGCTTAGGTCTTAAAAATTAAACTAAATAAGAAGAGAATGTAGCTGGAGGGATTTGCCACGGGATGGGTTTTGCACATAAGGCACAGCCAGAGGTGCTGGGGGTGGGGAGGGAAAGTGGAGAATTTGTGAATTAAGAGCAGGCAGGCAAACTGTTTATCGTTGCTGTTGTTCTTAAATCTATGGATTCCAAAGGGAGTGGATTATATTTATACAGATGTATAGAAAGAGGCTTTTGCTTGAAACAGCTCCTAATGCAGGTGAAAACCATGTATTGATTACTTAAAGAAAGTTAAAATAAAAGCAATTTTTTCCCCGTTTCCACACATTGCAGCTTTTGGCCTATCCACTCACAGCTAAAAAAGCATTCTTTCCTGATAATCAAGCTTCAGCTGTCTGAATTTCAGGCCGAGCCTCTCATCTTGAGCTTTGCTGAAGAGCTTCTTTAATTAACCATTATACCACAGATGTTATTGATTTTTTTTTTTTTTCAAATCTGGTTGAAACATCATTGTGCTGGATCGTCGCCAAGATGAAGGCCTGAATTTTTTGTGCACTGCTTTTACTCCTTCTGCATACCTTATTAGTCTCCATGTCTGTTAAGTGCAACCTGTAGTATTGACTCAGAAAATATAGCATTGATTTTTACCCTTCCAGCCGTGATCTAAGGGCTCCTAATTTGGAACGTGGAAACCAGAGTTCTGCAAGAAGCTGTATTACTGTACACTTCCTACAAGTAAGACCTTTCACTCTCTTTACCTTTTTTCCAGACTTTTGGTGTGGTTTAAAGTTCTCAGAATTGTTTTGTTACAAGAGGAACAGAGCAATGTGTCCAACACATGTCTGCTTACATCTGTGTAAATAAAAATATGTTTATATGTGTTAAAAAATGAATGAGTAAATAAGAAGTCTGATTTGCAAAGATGCTGTTCACCACAGTTTCTAATTATTTCATCCAGGTTGCAGCAGCTTATCTTCTCTGCAAACCTGTTTGCTTACCTTCAGCTGCCTAAGTGTAATGTGGAGAGCTAAATTTTGCTGCCCAATGTTTTGATGGTGTTGTTTTAAAATTGAGTGCATTTTTCTCTTTTAGACTCTTACTGGGATATGTGGGTCACTTGCTAGCATGGTGTAACATCTCTGGTAGAATTAATTCTTGAATTCAAGTAGACAGTTAAATCATGTCTGCATTTTTGGGGGGTGTGGGGGTGTTGTGTGTTACACTTTAGCTTTTCAGAGAAGCTGAGCCCAAGCCTTGAGTGAATCTCAGCCGTCCTAACAACAGCACATTCCTTTCAAAATACGTCTTGCTCTGATGATGAATTCAAGAACTAAAACAACGACAATAGGTTCTTAAATTCTGATAAGATTTCTCTGAGTTTAGTGATATGTTATTTAAACATAATTTGGAGCTTTTAAAATACTGTAATGGCATCTCTTGACCTTTCCAAAATCACATGGAGCAAGAGATGGTGAAAAATGTTTATTTACTTTGCATTAGAAGCTAAATCCCTGTTCCTTCTTAGAACCGGTAGTTCTTTTATACTGGGGAACTCATGCATGGCACTTCCATTCTTCAAACAAGAGCTAGACAGTCCTACTTGAACTGCAGAAACAATGACCTGCAGTCTATCCTATGCCTGAGTGATAAACAACAATGCAGACCTCTTGACAAGCTCTGGCATCAAGCGTGGAGTCTTGCAGCTCAACATGTCTGCTGAACAGAAGTTAGAAAAAGAAAAGATCATCTTGTAAACAATTAATTAATGTTTGTCATGAATTATCATTTTTACTTCCTTCTCAAGAGGCTCAAAGGGAATAAAAAGGCATTTTTGCAGGTGGTGGCATTCAAAGTAAGGGCAATCAAATGTTTGAGAGCAGTGGCACAGCACTTTGAGTCTCTAAGGGTGAATGGTGCTAGGATTAGAGCACAGCAGGGGGTTGAGGGTTTCAGGTGTGAAGCTTAATGTTTGTGATCAGCAAAAAAAAGTCTTGAATTTATCTAAACTGCTCTTCTGCTAACAGTACTTCTAGCACATAAATGTTCTGAAAGTGACAAGTGTTCTCATTGCTCTTCTAATGCAAACATGATCTGCATTTGAAAGATGCATCCCTTTTGCCTAAATTAGAATGTGCATCACAAAGAGCGTAAGATGATGACCCAAAAACAGTTCTTTACTCTCTCTCTCTCTCCCCCCTTCCCACCTCCTCCCTCTCACACACATACACACACACACTTCAATTCAAGATACAGCCACAAAAATGCAAACTTCCACTCCTTTTTACACAGCCACCAGAGCTGCCACTCTGTCCATTATTCTGCCTGCACCGCAGGTTTGTAATTAGGATGCTTTACCACCGGTGCTTCAGTTCTTATCTAGCATCATTCACACAGAGTTTCGTGTCTTTGCAGCGCTGTGCACGAGTAGCTCAATTTTATTTCGGTCAAGCAGTTTTGAGGGATTTTATGCTGTGCCATCCTAATGCATGCACACTCCTTACCTCCTCCCCCTGCTTATATTGCTGAGCACCACAGAGAAGATAGCATGATAGGAGTCCTACCAATAAGTTTAAGCTATTCTGAGGAAATTAACGGGTTTAGGATTTGCCTAAGAACATTTTCTATTACTGGGAATGAAAAAAAAAAAAGAAAATGTTTTAGTAAATAAGACTAATAAACAGATTGTACAAACTAATTTCTGTCTCTCCTGGGACCACCTATTTTGCCTTTTTGGAAAATGGTTTTTCCTCTAACTTTAAATAAAATCTTTGTGAGCAGTAGGAAGAATCTGTCCCTAAGAGAAAAAAAACGTGTTTCAACACAGGTTAGAAATGAAAGCAGCAAGGAAAACAGCTCTAAGATGTATGTACAAATGTAGGGAAACCTGCATGGATCCTCTATTTTTGCTTCAGATGTTTTCATGATGCAGTATGCTGTTACAATTTGGCATCCGGAGGGAGCGTGCTGCGTTCTGGAATTTGAAAACTATTGAGGCAGACAGCGCAGGCTGCAGACAGCAACCATAAAGGTAACTATATATAGGTATATTCCCACATCTTAATTGAACAATCATCAGAACAGGAAGTATTGTCTAATGATTTACTTCAGAGGCCTGAGCTGGCCGTCTAAAACTGGGTGAATAACTTCAGCTTTCAGTTCATAGGCTGGTCTATTTGTAAAATAAGATTTTTAATTGGTATAGAAGCCAATTATCTGGGAATTTTGATATTTGTCATTGCCATAAATTAATAAATTATTTTTACATATATAAATTTATATATATATTTATGATAGAAGAGAAAGAGTGGTGAAGTAAAATAGCTTCATTTTTTTCAAGTCTGTCACATAAAATGACACTAACTGACAGTAATTGATTAGTATATGTTTGCATCAACTAATGTCTGAAGTTCAAGGACTAGATTTCTGTTCACCCTAAGGTCCTTTCACCTTTCTTTGGCAGAGTGTCAGGGACTCCATGATGCAGCACTTTCTCATCAGAAAAATCTCTTATTTGTCAAAACAAATTAGTTTTAATCTGTGCAGCAGAAATATGTGTTTCTAGGCAGTGGTGGCAGGAGAAAGCGTCTCAGCTCTAGTTTAGCCCAGGGCTGTGTTCTTCAGGAGTAACCAATCTCCACCTCAGAGTGCTCACTCCACTTGATATAGGCAAGGGTCTGGATGTGGTGTTTCCAACTCCAGTGAGTCTCTAAACTCCTCTTTCAAGTGCCAATCAGCTGGGCTGGAGGGAGTCTCTCTCAGTCTCCCTAATTTGGAGTTGTTCCTTTTTGGGTCTTCCCTGACCCCCACTCAAGCAGAAGGCTGATCTCTAGGATCTACCCGTGTATCCTCACCCTTCCTCGTTGATTCTTTCTTGTTTGCCTTCTTTTTGCAGAAAGAACTAAATAGGCAAGAAAAGTCTTCCTGAATCCCAGTAAATAATGGGGAAAGGTCTGAGGCCCAGGAAAAGTTTTGTGCCCAGTTTAGTGCAATTCCCACAAAAAGACAAATTTGAATAGAGAACCCATAATTTACATCCCCACTTTAAGGACCATTTTACATTGTCAAAGTGGCTTTAGGGGTCCCAGAAATGACAGGAATCTGGTCCAAATTGTTTCTGCCTGAATTCCTGTCGCTGGCCACTCGTTAGGATGGAGGCAGGAAATAAAAAATATCAGACAGTGCCGTGGGACTGTTTGTTTGCTTTCCCCCTCTCTCGCACTGCCCCTCCTTGCCCGACATAACTCCCCTCTCCTCTCAGAGGGACCAGTGTTTGGGGGGAACTGAGCTGGGACCTTTTCTCTGTGTCGGTCAGGCCTCGTGTCAAAACACTCCTGACTCCTGGAAGTCATCTCTGCTGAATCCCGAGGCTTGCCAGTGCCAGTCAGCTGCTGTTTGAACTAAGTCCTGACCGCAAAATCAAAAGTGGGTCCAAAGAAAGCTGTAAACAGTGTGCAATGAGCCATTTGAAGGCAGCTGATGCCTCATTTGGGGTGACATGTTGTGGCTGATGAGTGTGGATGATGTGGGGTTTTCGATAAGTGCCTCATCAGTATCCTCATCATGATCGTGTTGCTCAGCCACGGCGTGTGCCCTGACTTGATTGTAATTGCCTGAATCTGCTCCTGCTGCTCAGGAGCGCACAGTAATATGCAATAAAACAGCAAGAAGTGAATGTTAACCATCTGAGTTCTGACATGGCTGCTTGCAGTTCAAGTTTTCCATTAAGGACAAAAAAATCTATATAGACACACAAATATGGATATATAATTGCATGTTTAGAATAATTATTGTTTGTATATGCAATAAACTCATTTTATAAATAATGCATGATGGCCATATACAGATATATAGACAGATATACCTACATACATTTTCTCTCTGACACTTGCATATACCATATACAAATGAATATCACATGCTCATGGTGTGTAGGTAAATAGTAGAGGGATAAAGAGCATCAGGACCATACTTTGATCCAAATTTTTAAAAATATAAGTAGAACGTGTAGTTAAATCTATGCATAGTCTTCATAAATCTTAATAACACGTGTGCATACAGATAAGTAATTGATTTTTAGATGCAGTTAATCTACTCATGTAAATGTGTGTGTGTGTACTTATGCAGGTGGGGGGGGGGGGAGGAATGTACACAAGCATATGAGCTTTGTACCGCTAAATTAGTCTTCAGAGAGAACACAATTTATTTTCACAAGTTAGCCAGTTTGGATTAATTCCACAGCATAACTGGCAAGGAAAAAATAACCCCAAACCCTAAACTTTCTGAACCTTGTGCCTGTGAATCTGACAATACAAAGTACTGAGAACTTGTGCCCACGGGAAGCTTTTCACATCTGAGACTTTTTGTAAGGTGGGAACTGTCATTACCCTGTTGGGGTCCCAATGTAAGAGAGGGGTTCTGAAGTGGTATGTTCATGCTCATTGGTGGTAACAGAAGGAGCAAGTTTATTGACAGCTTGTCAAAAAGTAGAATGTAATTGGAATGGGGGCTATGCTCCTTTTTAATAAACAAGTTGCATGGATAGTGTTCTTGACTTTAAAAATATATTCAGCTTTGGTTACAGGTCAGAAAGGTAATAAACCAAAGAGATTAGGGTTGTATAATCATGACCTGTGGTGTCTCAGAGTCTAACACTACACCCTTGCAGACAACAGCTTTGGGGGGGTTCCTGTATGCAGCTGTTTTTTTGGCATAGTTTGGGGGACATTTAAATCATAAAATTTACACAGGCAAACTCTGTTTGCATTCAGTTAATTCTTGATGGAATGAGCATGTGGGTTTTCTTCATTTCCACTGTGTTATTTAAGCATTCCAGTAAAAGTGCACCAAAATGTTTCCAAAATATTATTTGCAGCTGCTGTTGCTACTGTGCATCGTCCTGCATGCTCTGTGCCTGCGTAAAGAGGCTACCGCTGTAAGGTATGGTCTTGCTACACAGAAAGATCAGTGTTAAAGTGAAGGCGGAGAAGAGAGAGGTTGTTATTTGCAGACCAAAATCATCAGTGCATAGGATTTTGAAACCCTTAAAAAATAATTCTCTTTCCCCAACTCAAGCAAAATTTGCACTGCCTTGGAAATATCCTTAATATCTTCATTACAGAAAACAAATCTGTGCAGATTAAACACTCTAAGTCTGACCATTTGAGAGGTAAGACAATCATTATAATTATAAATGCTTCTGTTGTCATGTGTGATCAAGTGGATTCGTTGTTGTAGCTTAAATATATTAACTTTAACCCTTTTTAATTACGGATTTAGCACAAAGCTGACGGAGTCCCTCCTAGAATCCCACATTCACCCTGGGCCTCTCTTTATGCTCAAAATATGTAGACAAATAGAGAGGAATTCCAAGGAGGATAGAAAACATGACTGGAAGGATTTGTTTATGAGGAAAGATTAGAAGAATGAAATGGGGAGCTTTAGTTAAATGGGATTAAAAGCAACTAATCCAACAGCATTTGTGGTTTCAGCGGATGAAAACTCATCTTTACTATTAAACTATGCTTCATTCTCCAAACTTGCATGTCAGACCTCTGATTACTCCTTTACTTATTTAAAAATAACTTATACTACCAACAATTCTGATTTTTCATCATTTTAAGAAAAGAACCTGCTTTTGTTCAGCAGAGCAAAGTGATAACAAAAGGATGGGTTGTAACTGGCTACAAACATACAGATTGTTCAGACAAGGAATGGCATTTCTTAACTTGGTAAATATTGATTCTGATTATCAGCAGAGAGAAATTTAAAGGGAACGATAACTGGCCAAAACCCCAGATTTTCTTTCACGGCACCTACAGGTAATAGAAGAGTTTTCTAAAAGGAGGGCTAAGGCACAGGCTACCAGTCTGGATTAAGATCTGGGGCAAGGTTTAACATTGAAAACAACCTGACAAGCCTGAGTTGCTGGGCTCTCAAATTAAATAATTCTTGCACTTGGTATTTCTTCTTTTTGCTCGTTTGTTCTTTTTTTCTTTTCTTTTTTCTTTTTTTTTTGTTTGTTTAAATATCCATTGCCTTCACAGATGTGATTTTTTTATGATCATTACATACAGATGTGATTTGTTATGATCATTACATACAGATGTGATTTGTTATGATCATTACATACAGATGTGATTCGTTATGATCATTAGAAACTATCTTGAGAAAAATTTCTTTGTGAGTTTTTCCAGGGACTTTCTAGACATTCAGGAAGAGGCAGCATGTGTCCTGAAAAGTTTTTATACTAATTTAAATTAACTCAAAGTGAACAGCTTTATGCAAGCACAAACCAAAATCAATGCATTGATGAATTGGGCCCTACGTCTTGGACCTTTCTGAGACCTAAATAGCAAACCACAGAATCTCAAATACAAGGAAGATGCAGCCTGGTGTGAACTGGCTGATTTGTTTACTTCGCAGGACAAATGTATCTCCACAAGAAAAGTTTTCTTAAGAAATGGAGGATAAACAATTCTTTCAGATTGCAGTTTCTGCTTACAGCTCATGACAAGAAAAATGTTCTTTTCTCCTCAAAGATTTGTGTGGCATTGGGATTCCTTAGCATAAAAGAAATACTCCCTAATAGTAAGATATAAAGGAGAGTAAAACAAAACAAAAACAATAAAACACAAAACAGAATCAAAGCCTAAGATTCAGCATACATCAATTATAAAAATTACTTTTATAGTCTGTGTTGTGTATAAACAAATGTCTAGATTTTGTTTATCTGTATTGTTTAGAACTCCTATCAAGCCCTGTCGGTGCCAGCTGGGATCAACCAATTCAGTACATTTGGATGTCGCTTCTAATTCCAACCTGGTATTCTTGAGTTTGTAAATGTTAATGCAGCATTTCTTGACAAATGATCAAAGAAATCCTACCAGATCCAAGCTGGGCTGCAAATTTGTCCTTCCCTCCTTCCTGAAACCCTCCAGTCCTACAACACACATGGTATTATCTCAGATTTTAATTTTCTCTGCCCAAGCAGTATTCCCAGGAGAGTGGAAGAAACTATTCTATGGGCTAGATATGCTCACCAGGTTGCCATCCTTGAAACAAAATAAATTTTCAGAGATACTGATTTTGTCCAAGCAGGCATACCAATGGCTGAATAAGGTGTTAATTGCCATTAATGGGGGATTTAATGTTAGGTAGGAAGAATGACACCAGATGAAAATATGATTGTCTAATAGTAATGTTAGAAGTCATTCAGTTCTTGCAAGTTGAAGAGGATATTTGTCTCATAAAGAAATCTTTCTTTCTTTAACAAGCTGTCAATTTAGAATTACAGTTAGAATTAAATTCTTAGTTACTCTGAATTGTATCTTTTGCACAGTATGTGTGAAGGTGGCAAGGAAGTAACTTTGTCCATGCTGCACCTTAGGACGCTGTGCAGTTTTATTCCTGCTCTGGGATGACTCTCCTAAAGGCAACACATGGGAGGATAATTTGTGACCCATCTCCTCCAAAGGAGTTTCAAGCTCTCCCCTTTACCAGACCTTTTTTTTCTCTTCAGAACATAAACTTGCTGCACACCTGAATCTGACTCCTTGCCAGCAGCACGTAAGGCATCTCTCACAGCACCAGCAGGACTGGGTGGGCTCTTATCCCTTGTTCACTTCTGTATAAGGGATGCCCAAACCTTATGTCCTTTTTACATCCACTGGCAACATCCAGCTCTCTCTTGGAGTGCTGTTGGTATGGTCCCCAGGTAGGGGGACGGTGCCTGGCCAGGCCCCCCTTGCTCAGAGGAGGGAGCACTGCTCAGGCTGTGCCATTGTGTGCAACACAGGTTAGAGCAGCTGCACTTTGGGTGAACTTTTCTCTTGCTAAATGATGGCTAGGGAAGGGATTCTTCTTGCCTCACCGTGGCAAATGTTCTGCCATCACCCTGAACATGACCCGGATATTTCCATGTTCTCAAGATACCTTCAATGATAAGGGTTTTTTTAACGTTGCCAATTTGTGGCATTTGTTCTACGCAACGTATAACTGCCGAATATTTATGTGATTAACATCTGAATACAAGCATACTTTAGCAGTGCAAGGATGTGATTAGTCTCACCAGAATATGATTTTTTTAATGGATGTGGCTCCTACTTTCCAACAAAGATTTAATAGCTGAGTCCTGCCGGGAAGTCTCCATTTACTGAACTTTTATAGCTTTAAAATTATCCTAGGGTACATTTCCTAGCACACAGCGTGGCACAACACAGAATTTAAATGAAATGCCGTGTTCAGAATGAATGAACAAAGTGTGTAGTGTCAATCACTACCCTCATCCTTCCCTTTTATTTATTTTTTTTTAGACAAAATCATGTTAATGGCTGGTACTGATAATGGGCATGGATCTCATGCTTGGGAACAGCATTTGTCGTCTTCAGCTTGAAGACCTGGAACAGGAGGCTGAGTCTTCAAGCACACCTTAGTGTAGGTCCTCAGCCTTCTCCACCTCTCTGGACTCTGCTGGCATCTCCAGCATGCAGGGGAAAGGCATGGAAGCAGACCAGCTCCCACAGCTGTTTTTCATCTCCTCAGTCTCAGCACATGCAGGGGAACAGGAGCAGTGGCAATGGCACAGGCCTTTCCCTTTCTTTTCACCACGTGTATCCGCAGTGCCTGCTGAGGTCCAGCTCAGTATGGGCAGCTCTGACCCCTACCAGGTGTCCCAAAGGACCCAGGCTCGCAGTGAACGAGCTCTGCTAAAAGCTCCTGGGCTGCAGGAGCTAGCCATTGGGACTTCCCATGAACTTCTCCCAGGCTGTTTTTTAGCCAAATGTACTTTTTCCCTCTTTGCATCGTTGCCTTCAAGAGCAGAAAGTGGCTCCTGAAGCATCGACCAGCAGGCAGATGCCAATTTGCATGTCAGTGCATTTGCAGGTAAAGAAATATAAATAAAACAAAGAACAATCTCAAATTCCAAGACCCTGCCACCTTCTGCGATTTCTTCACACAGTTAAGTAAACTACAAAGAATAAAAAAGTTGGTTGTTTTTGTGGGGAGAAAACCCAAACAAACCAGAACATACCTAATGTTTCATCACTAACGACGCTGAGGCTGGTCAATGGTCAGCTGAATTGCCTTCCATGCACAACTGAGGGCTCAGACAATGAATCTGATATAAGTAGCTGGGTGTGCAATAACTGCAGAATCAGCATCTTGTTTTGAAAGGACTCCTGCAAATCCTGCAGGAACATTTCAGTACTAGATGGTGTTGCTATGGGCACCAGAAGGAAGCTTAATATAAGAGAAACTGTCTTAGGAATTCAGGGGGGATGGGTGTAAACAGAATACATACATAGGAACCAGAATGTCCCTGGCAGTAAAAAGCAAAAGGCATTTTGGGGTTTTTAATGTTCTGCTAATAACATCTTAGGGTAGGTGTCTCCAGAAGGAAAATACAAGCTGGTACTTTTTTTTCAAGTTGCCTAAAGTGAAAGATCAGAAAATAAGTGATCAAGTTCTATAAGGTATATCTGCATCCTGCGTAGCAAAAGCATAATGAAACCTGAATGCTCCAGAGAGATATTTTTCTGTAAAAAACAGATGTCAATAAAAGGAATTAAAAATGAGGGAAATAGAAGAACTGCAGTTCCCTTTAGTATTCAGGAAAAAAAAGGGTCTCACTTTGCCTTTGAGTAAGTTCAAAATGTAGGTAAAAATCAGATTGGCAAGGGAGAGCTGGATGATTTAATTCATGGCTAGATTTCTCCCATTCTGGCTGTCCCTCTGCCAGTATAGACTACCTAAGTGGATGAAAGGAAAGAAAAAGTAACCAGTGTAGAATAACTGCATATTGTATATCTCAAGACTGACAAAGAGAATGCAAAATTAAATTCTTGATGTGAAAAGGATGGGACAATGAGCCCCTCTCCCCAAGATACCTTCAGAGAGGATTCCATTTCAGTGCTTTCTTTCGTACTTGCTTGCATTATTTTTCATTGACATGTCCCAAAGAAAACCTGAAAGCCTTTTATTATCTCTTATTTTCTTTTTCTTTTTAGTAGGTGATATAAGTTCTTTTTTTATATATATTATTTTCCTGTCAATGTTGAATCAGTTCCCATTTTTCTAGTTTGTTTCTGACACCTAGCTGTGATCAACAATGCTTCCCACTGAATCACTTCTTTCATCTATTCAGTTTCTGTTATTTCCCTTATCTCCTCTCCCCCCTTCACCAGCTTACCTCTCATTAACCCTCAGGGTTCCAAACATATTGTATGTCTCCCAAAGATATATATTTTTATTCAGACACAAGTAATTTTTGCTTGCGAGCCTCAGTTTCCATAATTCCCTAATAGAATAGCTGTGTGTAGTACATACTCTTTACAGCATTTTGAACAATAAACCCAGACATTAATTTATACTTGTGCATTGTATGCTCCTCCACTTCACCTTTTCCCCCTCTGAACTGATAGTCACACAAAACTCATTCTTCTCTAATGTAGGAAATGAAATATAGTTCAATCCACATGTAAAAATCTGCCTGGCTAGCAATTTTGTTTGACCAACAAAACTATAATTTTCTAAAAGTCACTTTAACCTATATATTTAAAATCATGTTTTAACTTTTAAAGGTAGTGGTACTGATACATTAAGGGTCATTTCTACTAGTATATAATATACAGAGGTTTCCAGGAAATAAGCTCTCCCTTATGTATATTAAACTAATGTATTTATAGATCATTTTCAGATGTACAACTGCCTTCACTATTCTGAGGAAGAAAAATATGCAAAACCCAAGAGATTTATCTCCTGGGTTTTAGCTATAACTTTCGTGATTGAAACTGGTGAAAGCAGCTGGAAATATATCCAGCTATTCATGTAGACTTCTCTCTCTGCTATCCCTCCAATTAACTGCATAACCCAGCTCCAATTCTAAAGTTCTTTCCCAGCTAAAATTCATAAAAAGATATTAAAGATGCTAAACTGTGTGAAAGGATTCATCTGTCTCACCTTAAAAACTAACAGCTGTATGACTTGATGTTTATAAAACAAAAATTATTATTTTTTTTAATTTGGGCAACATTTCCCCTGGTTTTATTATGTAAATAATCATTATCCCTTGACTGTATAAAGTATCTTTTACCAAAAAAAACAGCCCATTAGAAAAATGAATATGTATTTTATATTTTTTAAATTAAATGTTTATACTGATTTATGGTAAACCTTCTCAAAAGTTCACTAAGATTCTAATGCAATTCAGTGCAGTCTTTTGAGCAAAAGCAAATTACACCCAAGAACATTCTTATAGACATTAAAAATAATTGGCGACACTAAAAGTTTCAAGTTTGTGCCAAGAGCAAAATAAATATTTAAGTTACATTTTGTGAAGTGTCCTTGCTAATTTAATCCTCAGAGATATTCAGCCCTGTATAACTTCGTCTCTCCTTCTTCTTATATTTATTACTGCAAAAGATTTGTTTTCTGTTACAGGGAAACTCACTGCTGCATCAAAGGTTTAATTGAGCTTTTAAAGTATCATGATTGTCACTATAAAATCATGCATCCACAGTAAGCACGTTTATAGAGAACTTACAGCTTTAGATTTCACTTAGAGAAAAAGCCTTATACTTTCCTGCAGGTTCTGAATGCAGATTTACTATAAAATAAGTGAATAATAATACCAGGTTATTTTGGAAAGTGTTCTTTCATGCAATCACTGCATTTAACACAATCCCAAAATGGCAGCCCAACAGGTGGTCCTTTCACAGCCTTCAGCCCAAACAATCGGAACAAAAAGGACACCAAGAATCGAATGTTCTTCAGGATTTAAAAAGCTGTTCACTTCCCTTTGTTCATTTTCAGATTTAGCCATGTTCATTATTGTTGAGCCACAAATGCAGGACATTCTTTTTTGACATTTTGCCATAAATAGACACTGACTGAGGCTGACTAGCCAGCTAGCTGCTTTGTCACATGCAAGCGGAAACTACTTCACAAAGCGAATGCATTCCTGGTGCCTCAATGGCCCCGGCAAGCACCGGTTGTGACATGCTGCAAATCTGGCAAAGTCTAGGTTAACAAAAGTATGGGTGACAAAGGCTGAAGTTTCTCTTCCTATATTTTCCTCCACAGTAAGTATTTAATTCTGGCCTAATGAATTTGCCTGGAAGAGTGGGTGTCACATTGACAGGCTCTTGAATGTCTGAAAATATACTTCTGCATTGTGGGCTCTCTTTGGAGGGAACTGTTAGTTACCCGGTAATGATGGACTTCAGGGGCGAAATCTAAGATGAAATACTTGTTTCTCAGTATTTTAAAAGTTGTGAAAGTCCCTCGTTACAGTGAGCTCAGCCTCAACATACGTAACAAAAGATGGGCCCCATCCTATGAGTCTTTAATGATGCAAGGAGTCTTTACAGCTGCCTTCACTGCGCCACGAGGAATTACTTGCACAAGTAATAGGCACAGAGGCACAGATCAAGATTTTTTCCCTTGTGCATATGAATAAACATGAAAAACACATGTTTTTAGAAAAGGCAAGGCTATAATGGTATCTATCCGCTCAAATATAGTAAGTGAATTTATCTTCAAAATTTCTAATTTACCAAGTCAAATCCTCTCCTACTGCTGTGTAATCTAAATGTCCTACACTCAGCTTGGCTTGTTTTGCTTCTTTTCTTTTTTCTTTGGTTTGGTTTTGGTTTTGTGTTGGTTTTGTTTGTTTGTTTTGGGTTTGTTTGGGTTGGTTTTTTTTGTTGTTGTTGTTTTTCTGTTTTTGACATATGCAGCCGAATTTAAAACTTCCAGGCCCTCCCATTGCTATTACCTTGGGGATTTTCCAAAGCCCATGTGAGTCCAGGGCTTCTGACACCTGCTGGATTGTGGATGAAGCCCTGGTGTACGGGTTCAGGGTTTGAAACTAGACCCTTATTAACCTGTTAGATTGAAATTAGACCCTGTTAACCTCTTACTTTCATCATTCAGTCTTTGGTGGAAACCGTGAGTTGCTTCAAACTGTCTTTTGAAAAGATATGTTGCACATATAAATGAAAGACAAATATGTATTAATCTTCAAACATCTACATTCAGAATCACTTATAACAGTGACAAAGATATTTGGACACTGCTGGCTACAATTCCAGCACACACACAAGGAAACACATGTCCCTCAGGTCCTACCACTGCAAAAGGCAACAGTGCAATCTACAAGAAAATAACCTTTAAGTACAGCACAGTCTTGCCTATGTCAGTAAGGCAGCAGCTATGCTGATCAGTGAATTTTTTCCTCTTCAGTTCAAAAACTTAAAATCAGTAATGAAAAAACTCAGTGTTGAATAGCTTATTGAATGAAGCCGGTGTTCAGTGTTGTCATCCAGATGTTTGTTTTGTGGTTTACATGAGCCTGTTGTATGTGGAGGAACCAGTTTACAAACGAAAAGGCAAAAGCCACGACCCGCTTTTGAGACCCTGAAGATACTTGGGCAAATTCCTTCACTGCGGGTCTCCCCTTCCAGGATCCTAAACCCACTGGGGGATTTTCCTTGTAAACC